TGTGATGACAGAAGCCGAGATTGGAGTGATGCTTCTACAAGCCAAGGGACACCACAGATTGCCAGCAGCCATCAGAAGCCAGGAGAGAGGACTGGAAAAGATTCTCCCTTAGAGCCTCCAGAATGAACCAACTCTGCCAACAAATTGATTTCAGACTTCTGGCCTCCTGAACTTGGAGAGAATAGGTTTCTATTGTTTTTAAGCCACCCAGTTTGTGGTGCTTTGTTATGACGGCCCTAGGAAACAAAGACATTCAAAAAGAGCTAAAAGGAGTTACTGAGAGGAACATAAAAGTGGAGTGCCACCTCGTCATAGAGCTGCCACCTTGCCCTACCGTGGCCCCTGGCTTCCTGCCCTGCCAGGACCCTGCCTCACTGTGGGAGAGGCCACATGGACACACTCAGGCCTAACTGGAGTCCTCAGGGCTCAGGCCCAAGACAGAGAAGCATAGAGAGATACTCCTTCAACCTCTATCCAAGGCCTGAGTGACAAATCCACCTTTCTTGACCCCGGACGTCCTTCAGCCAGGATAACTCACGTTAGGAAAATCTATTTCTTTCAGAGAACGTCTTGTTTCCCCCTCAAAGAGATCAATCCAACAAAGTTTCTCAAATATGGTCATCCACCATTGCTACAAGAGATACACAAGAAGAGGGAGAGGACAGGTTCAGTGATCTTTTTGTGAGGTTCCCAAAGCCCCAAGTACTTCCCCACCATTACATGTTGTTCCGTAATTGCCTGTTAATCCTTGAGTTCCATGAAGGAAGAAACCATGTTTTTCTGTCTCATTTACTGTTCTAGCCCCAGTAGCTAGCACAGAGGCTGGCATGTAGTAGGAGCTCAGTAAACATTTACATGTGGTAGCTAGGGCCCAGTTAGATGTGAGATGTGCTAAAGATCACACAGATAGTTAGCTGAACTAGGACTCCAGCCCAGGACTTTTCCTATTCCCTGTTAGAAATAGCTCATCCTGTTTAGCTGAGCTAAGCAGTAGCCAGAGCCCAGACTTCTCTTGCTTGGACTAAAACAAAACCTTTCTTCTTGGTCTCTCTGCCACTATCTCTCTACACAGCTTCTAAATCTTAAATCACATACACACACACACACACACACAGAGCAAATGAGTGAATGACTCCCTATTATTCACACTCCTCAGGATGGCCTATTAAAGCATCCTAAGTGTGATTCTGTCCCAACTGTCTGGTCTTAACCTCATACACTTTAACTCCTAGGCATGAACCCCCCTCTCATCCCTATCTTGTTTACCCAGAAGAAAACTCCCACTCCTTCTTAAAAACCAATTTCAAAATCATCTGCCTTTGTAAAATGTTCTTTGATCTTCCTCCTTGGGCTCCATCCCATTGTTTCCATAGCAACATATCATTTCTGCCCCTCAGAAAGCTCAGATCAAACCCCTGTCTCCAGGTAGGAAGGTCTCCTCCACTAGTGACTACATGTCTGATCCTCCAGGGCAAGGCCCCAGTGTGATGCCATGTCCCTCACACCTAGTACAGGGTGTGGCATAGAGCAGGGGCCCTGGAGGACTTTGTGGGGAGTTGGCTAAGTGAGCAATCAGACACTGAGGCTGCTAAAACCAGCTCCCAAAAAAGCGGCCAAACCCCTGTGCACTTCCCACCTCTGCAGTTTCCAGGAAGTGTGCAAGATGCCCCTTCTCTGCAGCCTAGATCCGGGCCCCCCCCCCCTCCAAGGCACCACAGAACCCACAGAGCCCCAAACCCAGCTGGAAGGCTCCCCACTGTGCCTTCCCCAGGTATCTTGGAGGCTGAGTTCCAGCCACAGAAGGAGGCTCAGGCAGCTCCAGGGGCAACTGCCCCCTGTACCAGGCTGTCCCCGAGACCTTAGATTAAGAAGCAAGACAGAGCCAGGTGAGGGGAGAAATGAGTTGCAGGGTCAGGAATGTGTGTGCCCTTCCCCTCCCCTAAGTACACTTTTCCAGGTGACCCTCCACCCACAGCAGCCCAGACAAAATCTGTGAGAAGGGGGCAGGGAGCTATTACAGAGTCTGGAGTGGGAAGGACTGACACTTAATTGGTAAATGAGTCTAGTTCTCAAACTTTCCAGTGCTAAGGAATCACCTAGGGTACTCTTTAAAATGGAGTTCCCTAGGCCTGTCCCCCAGAGAATATAATTGAGAAGGTCAAGGATTGCCTAGAAATCTATGTTAAAAAACAAAACAAAACACAGCAACCCCCACCACCACCCACACCACCTAGTGATTCAAATGCAAATAATCCTCAGACCACACTTTGAGAAACCCTGGCCAAGGAAGTCTTTTCCGGCACCATCTGAAGATCCAACATCCTTCTTCTCTCCCTCTCCCAACTCCATCCTCAAGGAGCTATATGTCCGTGGGGATACTGGGAAGAGACAGTGACCCTGGGAGACCAACCCACATCAGGATTCTAATGGGAGAAGGGGTTAGGCCTGTACAGCGAGGGCCCAGAATAAGCCTTGCAGAGCCCTCACGGAGCAGCAGATGTCAGCTCAACCAGAGGAGGAACTTCATGCAAATCAATTGTATCACCCCCAGCTTAAGGCCTATCATCTAGTGCAGGGGTCAGCAAGCTGCAGCTCGCGAGCCACATGTGGCTCTTTGGGTACATACATGTGGCTCTGAAGTAAAATTGAAAATGAAAATAAAACTATCATAGCTTCATTTATAAAATTTGTAAAGGATATTGTTCACATAATGGTGATTTAATTTGTTTTATGGCTCTCGAATAATTTTTAAATTGTTGTGAGGGACAGGATTGGCTCTTCTGTCTCAAAAGTTTGCCGACCCCTGGTCTAGTGGGAAAACTCTCATCATCCTTGGATAACTCTAAATTTTCCAGCATGGCTATAAAGCCTCTCAGAATCCAGCCCCTGCTTTCCCTCCAGTCCCTCCTCAGAGCCCCCCACTTCCGGGACTTAATCTGTCCCCCACTCCCAACACACAGAACCTCTCTTGATCCTCCAAGTGTGACAAGCCCTCCATCTGTCAGCCTTCCATGTTTGCGTCTCTCCTCTAGGACATGGCCCGTTCTGGAGGTTCTGCCTGGCCTGCCTCTCCCGGCTTTGGGGCTGGTCAGTTCCGTCATGCTTCAGGTCTCATTCTAGAGGTCACTCTTGAAGTTCCCTCTAGCCCCCACAGCTGGATGGAGTACCCCTGCTCTCTGCTCCTTCTGCACCCCATAATAAAACTGTTCGCTGCCCCCCCAAAGACCTGACATAGTAGAAGAAATATTTACTGAGTTGAACTGTTGAGTTATAATGAGCTGTTGACTTACTGTTGCCTCAGGAGGCTAAGAGGTCCTCCAGGACCCATTGGCTGGCACCTAGTAGCTGCTTGATAAATGTCTGGAAACGATCGAATGGCAGTACCCTGGCAGAAAATTAAATCATCTGACTTAGGAGGCAGTGAGTCCCCATCACTACACCTTTTCATTCACAGAAGCTGACCCACCAGAGACCTTGGGGGTTGGGGGTGGGGGGAGTTGACTGCTAGATATGACATGTATCCCAGGGTCCCTCCAGACACGGAGATTACAGGATAATGACTCTGGCCTCCGCTGGAGGGTATCTTTGAAAAGCAGCCAAGGCCCAGTTTGGTTCACAACAGTTTGTGTTCAGGAAGATAAAGGAAATTCATTGTTACCAGGGGTCGTCCTGGTTCTCTTGTCCTCCATTCCAGAGCCAGATTCTGTCACACCCATCCGTGAACACACGGGTACTTGCCAGGCCTGTCTGGACCCATTGGACATAGAGAGGCCCCACCAGCTTTGAGTTGAGGCCAGTTTCCTAAGTACCAACTCCCTGAGTATATTTTGGATACAGACTCCTGCAGCCAGGCCTAGCCAACTCAGGATAGTGGTGCTCAGTGCCTACTGTGTGCCAGGCTCCAAGTGAGCAGGGCCGACAAGGTTTGGCTTTCCCCAATCCACTAAAGACTTCGTTCCACAGGCCATCAAGATGAGGCAAACCAGGTTTTCAGCACAGGTCTATCAGTGACTATATGTGGGCATACCTGCAGGATAAGCCAGAATCTCATACGATGCCCTGAGCCCCAGGACAGGTGGCACTCAGAGCTGCTGGAGAGACTGCCTGGCTTCCTGCAGTCTACCTATGAAGCACAGATCTTTCCAGAATGTTTTCACAGTCCCCAAGGGTGGGAGAATCCAGATTGTGGATGTGGATGTGAGGGCGATCTGGCAGCAACATCTTGTCACCCCATTGATCGCCAGGGTTGACTCGGCTGATCTGGCTGGCTAGGCGGGTGTCCCCTTCCTCCCTCACCTCTCCATGTGCGTCCCTCCTGAAGCTGCGTGCTCGGTCGAAGAGGACGACCTTCCCCAATAGAGGAGAGGACCATTCTTCGGTCAAGGGTATACGAGTAGCTGCGCTCCCCTGCTAGAACCTCCAAACAAGCTCTCAAGGTCCAGATTGTGGATAGACCCATGCCAGCCCTCCCTCATCTGCAACCCTCCTCCAGAGAGACAAGCCTTAGGGGCCTGGGCCGAATGGGTCAGGGTGTCTGAGGGTGGGCTGGGGGCAGGAGCTTGGAAGTACAGCATTCAGCCTGCTACTGATTAACTGTGTGACCTTGGGCGAGCCCCTTTCTTCTCTGAGTCTCAGATTCCTCCTTTGTAACTGAGGGAGGACTAGTGTTTCCTGACCTTGGTTATGAATCAGAATCATCTGGGTGGTGGCAAGACAAAGGAACTTGAAAATACACAGATTCCTGGGCACCATCCCAAAGGCCCTGCAGGAGCCTGAATCCTCAGGGTGGAGAGGCCGACTGAAGCTCTGGCCCTGACCTCACCCCCATCAGGGAGCCCCTGGAGCCCCTTCAAACCCTCCCCAGTTCCCTGCACTGAAAAGCTCTTTGGAATACAATGATCCCAGCCACATCCCATCTCTTTCCAACCACTAAGCTTTCTCCAGCCAGGGCTAGGGTAAGCTGCCCCATCTCTGTCTCCAAAGAGTTCTAGAGCCTGAAGCACTCATCAGTGAGCAGTTTATTACCCATCAACCTGTTCCCAGCCTCCCAGCACAGTGGCCTGTACACAATCTAGACACAGCCTTTGCTCCAGTCAGTCCTCACACCCAGCCTCAGTCTCCACCCATCCCAGTCCTCAGCACTCTGCCCCTCCCTTCCTGGCAGCACCAGGCCCAGGGGGCCACACCTCAGCTAGAGGAGGGGAGGGAGGGCAGGGGAGAGAAGGCAAAAGCTTCCGGGGGAAAGAACCAGATTGGCCCCACGCTTCTGGAACCACCACCCCAGGATGCAGGGGAAGTGGGCAGGCCTGGGGGGTGGGGGGGGCTGGGATTGCCAGGCGATGGGTTCAGGCAGGAGGCTCTTCTCCAGCAGGTGCAGGAAAGCCACTCAGGTCTCGGCCAATGATCTCACTCACTGTAAAGGAGGGACAGTTGAGAGATTGGGCTAAGGGCAACTCCGCTCCTCTCACAGAGACCTCCCCCCACCCCAATCCATTCCAGGCAGGCCTCAGTCTAAGATGCCTCTAGACTCCTCCTCAGAAACTGGGCCTCCGTTTCCCCAATGTATCTTGACACCTGCTCCAAATCAAATCTTGCTCAACTCCATGCATATGGGCTCCCAGGCTGCCATCCCAGCCCTTTCCTGCTGGCTCAGCAGCCTACAATGTCAAGGCAATGGCTGTCAGCAGGGCCAGAGGTGGGTGTAGCCGGTGGGAGAAAGGAGAGGCAAAATACGAAGGTTCCTTATCACCAATCCTGACTCCAATCATCATGTTTCGGGTGAAGGTGACGCCAGGGGAAGTGTACTTGGCTGGAAATTGAGTAAGCCACTGCTCCTCTCTGAAATTCAGTGCCTAAATCTGAAAACTGGGGAGCTAGATTGAATGACCTTGAAAGTACTTCTAGCCTGAGATTTTGTGATCTGGGGCAGAGGCAAGAGAAGGGTTGGGGCAGGGACTCCATGCACTCTTCAAAATTAGGTTAACTGAGTTCAGGTGGCCACATGCATCAAGAACTTGCCTCCTGAGAACCTCCAACTGGCCCCAAGGGATCAAGGATGCCCAATCTCTAGGAAGCCAGGCTCCAGCCCTCAGCAAACATGCAGAGCAATCTCTTGCACACACTCACACTTGCAGTCCCCAGTCCCACACCCACCTTCCTCCAGCGTGATACCCTGGATAGGGACACTGTCTCGGAAGCCGCTGCTGTAGCCACCCCTGGATTTCTCCTGCTCCGGAGCCCCCTCCCCAGGGCCATAGCTTGGCCCTACCTCATTGTATCCCTCAGCAGGTGGGGGATGAACAGCACTCTGGGGAGGAAAGGGGCCTTCCAGCGGTGGGGAGGAAGGCAGTGGAGGCCGAAAGGGAGCTGGAGGAGGGAATGGTAGCCCCAGTGGAAAAGGGGAGCCCCGTCCCCCATAGGGGTCACTAGGGAAGGGCCGGGGAAGGAAGGATACTGGAGGTGGGCGGGCACAACCTGTGGTACCCCCAGTCTCAGGGAACATCCGAAGGCCAGGTCTGTAGGATGGTGGAGGCCCCGTCTGAGGGTATAGAGGGGGCGTGCCATAGCTGAAGCCTTCTGACACGTAAGGAGTTTCATAAGCAGGGTCTTCATGGGGATAGGAGGGGTAGGGGGGCCTGGGTGGTGAGAAGTCCATGTCAGTGCTAAAGGCGGGGGCCGATGTTGACGGGAAGCCCCGGAGAGATGAGTCTGGTAGGGGCTCCTCCTTGAAGATCACTGGATGATGGGAAGCAGGAGGACACATTAGTAAGAAGGCTGGCAGGCTCCCCATTGCACACCTCCATCCACCTTCCCATCCCCAGGTTTCCTCCATCCCCTGACCCCTCACTATGGGAGCATAGCACCCCTCTGCCCTGCTGCAGCTCCCCATTTCCCCACACCCCACCGTGGGCTGTCCTAGAGCGCACCAGGCAGAAACTTGAAACTCTGGGTAGGGCTGCGCTTCCTGCGCCCGTTGGAGACATAAAAGTAGACCTGGACAGGCCGGGACACCCGCTTGTTGCTGTACTCAGGGACAGTCAGGGTCAGTGTCACCTGGGGAGGAGCAGAGGATGAGGCAGAGAGCCCGCAGGGACCTAGGCTCAGCCTAGCCCTTCCAAGTAACCAAACTCCACCTCCTGGCTTTCTCCATTTGCAAAGTTCATTTCCTGGAGATGAACCTGCCTCCAGAGTGGCCAGACTGCCTCCTCCGGAACAGAACAGGTCGATTCTGGGGTCCATTCCCATGGGCAAGGAACATAGCTGGGAGTTCCCTGACTTCTCCCCTGCCCCACCCCCAGGGTAGGCACCCCAGTGACACTGGTACCTCATTGCTCTGCAACCGGTTCACAGTGGCCTCCTCCTCCCATTGCAGCTTTCCATCTGTACAGGAGGAACAGAGAGCTTCAGCCCAGCTCCAGGGCCCCTGTCCCCTGACCAGTTCCCTGCCATTTCCCCTCCTGCTAGAGTCAAGGCCACGCTCAGAAGATCCCTACAGGCCTTGCTCACAAAGGAGCCTACTGCGTGTTTACGCAATCAAATGGAAGAGGCAGGGCTTAAAACTGTCAGTGGGGTATAGAGGAGCAAACTGAGGCTAAGAGAAATGGCAGGGCCAGCCTAGAAACCAGAGGGAGTGGGTGACAGAAGCAACTCGTGACCCCTCCCGCCAACTCCAAACATCCTCTCCCATGATAGTGCCGGGAGGAAGTTCAAGGGTAGGAAAGGGTCCTAGCTTGAAGGAAGGCAATGAGACCTCAAGTCTCATGACCCAGCACATCTAAATCTGCTTGGACATGGTCCCAGAGTGCTATATTTGAGTATAGGGGGCTAGGGTTCTTAGTGGTCAGGGTTAGGGGAGGGCAAAGGCCTCAGGCTGATGGGTGCACCTGGGTCCCTCAGTCTCCCCTTCTGCACTCCTGCAGCTCCATCTTGGGGTACCTCATAGACTCTTGTAATCATAGCTATACTGCCAAGCCTATACTCGGGAGGGGCTCATTGTGGGGCTATGAGGGTGTAAGTCAACTCTTCCCTTCTCCTCATGGACCCTATCCACAATGGGGGTCAATCATCTCAACGCTGACTCTTCTTTAATAAGTAGAATGTATATTTCTTACATTTGTTCACCGTCTTGAATATTATAGATTGCTGTCGTGCCCGTGAAGCAGGCAGTACAAGAGGAAGTACAGTCTATCTGTCCCATTTTAGAGAAGGAAACTGAAGCTCAACAAGCAAGTTTAGTGACAGTGCCAGAGGTCTTTCACCTACCCATTCCAACTCTTCCTGCCTGCCCTCCCATCCCCAGTGGGTACTCACCAGGGCCTCTCTCTATGAACACCACCTTGGAGTCTGGCAGGAAGTTGGAGCCAGTCAGCACTAGTTCCTCTCCTCCTCTCACCGAGCAGGCACTGGGGCTGTAGGCCTCCACCTGGGGCAGCTCCTGAGCTGAGCGCTGGGCTGCAGAGCAGTGCAGGCTGGGCTGGGTATGGAGAGGACAGCCTCCTCTGCCCCCACTTCCTTGGAATAACTACCACAGGACCCTGGAGGAGCCCTCCTCAGCAGCAGACACACAAGTAAACTACTGGAGTCCCTGGGGTGGCACCAACCATGTAAAGAGCCACCCGGGCAGACAGAAAAGTGAACAGAGCAGCCCAGAGTTACCCAAACAAGTGCACAGGGCCACCCAGGGCAGAGGGAGGACAGGGCCCCTATGGTCCAGCCCAGAGACAGAGTCTGCAACAGGGCAAATTAGAACACTTCCCCCACCCCTCCAGGATAGAAATAAGGGCTAAGTCCTTTATAGGGCTACCCAGGACATATGGAGCACAGGACAATATGCAGAGGTGATGGGTGAACAGACAGACACACAGACAAGAGGGTTGCAAGAGACTGAGAGGTGGCATAAGGCCTCTTTGCTCACAGCACTCGATGGGCACCGATGCTGTCTGCACAGAGATGACTTTCCCGCTGCCCTGGGGTACGTGTACCCGGAATACCAGCCGCACACGTGTGTTCTTGCGCCCGATGTCCGTCTCACCCTTCCGCAGCTCAATGTCTGAATTCCGAAGCTTCAGGATTCCCGCACAGTCAATGCTGAAGGCAAAGAATACAAGGCAAGCCCTCCAAGCTGAAGCCAGAATGGTAATGCCCCACCCCTCCCCAAGAGAGAAGCCCCTACCCTCTATCCAAAACTCTGCAGACCTTCTCTGGGAGCCTAAGGGGGCTATTTTAACCCAGAGATGGCCTCTCCAAGGTACTCCCAGCCCCAAAAGTCCTCTTCTAGATGGTGAGAAGGCCTGAAACTGCTCGTATAGATGTCTAGCTCTTCTGAGAAGAGGAAGAGTTTGCCTAGCTTAGGCCCCTTGGAAAAGACTGGTTCTAAAACCTGAAAACTAAGGGGAAGTGAAGTGGGGACCTACTTGGCTGCCATATTGTTCTCAGGAAGCAGGGTCATCTCCAACACCTTGGTACCACTGACTACAGCTTCATAGCTGGCTGTGGCCACCATCTTGCCAGTGATGCGATGCACCTGATAGAAGGCATGAGGCCGCAGGTTCCTTTCATCTGCAGTGCCGATGAACATCTGAAGCGTCAGTGGCTTCTCACTGTAACCTAGGAGCTGGCAGAGGGAGACAGGCCACCCAACTGAAATCCCCACTGTCTCATCCTTCATCCGCCCCTGGGTTTTCAGTGCACCAGAGGGTGAGGATGGTGAAAGACAAAGGATATCCTGGAAGGGATTCCCAAGGGGAATTGGGCACTAGTTGCGGAGAAAACGAGGTCTGGAGTTCATAGTGTTATTCTTGGAATAAGTCCCAAACTGGGCTGGGCAAAGGGGAAAATCTTCCAAGAGAGACTGGCCCAACTCAAGGGAGACAACCTCACTCCCAGTGAACTTTGGCCCCAGCCTAAGCCCTCCCCCACATCTGGCAGGCCACCATTTTCCAGAGTAGACATGAGGCTGCTGTCCCATGGGATGAGTGGAGGGAGGAGGAGGAGAGGGGGGAGGGACAGAGGAGTAGAAAGTATATCCGGGTCCTTGAAGGGCATCCTTCCTCCTCCAACTCCAGCACCTCCCCCAGGCTGCCTGCAGGGTCACTGCTGAGAGGGAGTGTGGGAAAGGGCAGTGCCACAGGCGGGTCTGCACAGCTGGAGCCCATTTGCAGGGATCAGGGACTGGAGAGGAGAAAGGCTATCAGGCCTGGTCTCTGTCCCTTACCTTGACTACGGGGTGACCACCAGGGGCAGCTTTCACAGCACCTCGGCTGCCCTCTGTCTCATAGTGGGCCCGGTGGTGAGCTCTAGGCTGCACCTCGATCCTCAGCTCCAGCTGCTCATACTGGCTGGGCAGAGGCCAGTCCAGCGGGGGTAGGGCAGAGGTCCTGAACAGGAGAGAACACTGGTCATCTGCTGCCTCAGACACTGGTCAGGGCAGCGCTGGGTCCCAGCACCTTGGGATATGATGGAGGAGGGGGTGTAAGTGTGAGAGGAATCACTGCAGAAATAAAACCGTCCACAAGTTCAGAAGCAAGGGGATAGGGGACAGGCTCCTCAGAGCCCCTCAAGATGAGGGTGTGGAAGATGGTACCAGATCTGAGGCTCTCTCTTTTCCAGCTCTAAACACAGGGTCTGAGGTGGCAAGGGTTTACCTGGATACAGGAGAACCCCAAGCCCATCCTAATCCTCAGACCCGGATGGGAAGAGTCAAGTAAAGAAGCACCATTTCAGACCAGAAAAGGCCTCAGAAATTAACCCCTCTGTTTTTCAAATAAAGAAACTGAGACCCAGATGAAGCAAACCAGTGACTGACGGAAGCCAGGACTGAACACATCCTGTTCCCAGGCTAGGACTCATTCCACTAGTTGGGGCTGGACAGGTCCTTTCCAGGAGTTGTGGGTTACAGATGTGCAACATTCTTATATTGAGCTCCCAGATACCCTAGGTCAGGGGATCTCAACTGGTAATTGCCCCAGTGATATTCAGCAATGTCTGAATACTGGTTGTCACTACTAGGGAAGGAGGTGCTACTAGCATCTAATAGGGGTCAGGGATGCTGCTAAACCATCCTACGATGTCCAACACAGACCCCACAAAAAAAATTTATCCTGCTCAAAATATTTGTAGTGCTGAGGATGAGAAATCCTGCCCTACAAGGAACCCAGGGGAACAGATATTAAGCTTTCTTTCCCCAGGGAATTTTTCTGCATGGAGCCAGCTCAATCTGGTATCCCAAGGTTTAGGATTATTGAAATGAGCAGGGTTCTTTGAGGGTAAAATGGTAAGAGAATGCAAGAATTGCTTGTTTTAATATGAATTTTGACTTGCAAATATATGCTATTTTAATTCAAATTAGCAGTTATACTTTTAAAGCACAAGTCAGGCCCTAGAAGTTGAGTTACAGAAGGGGGACTTCCTGCTACCCAGGGTAGGACTGAAATCCAGCCCATGGTCCAGTACCAGCCAGTGCCAGCCCAGAGCTGGGGCTCAGGGACACCCTAAAGGAACTCCCCCTTTCTCTATGTGGTGCTGATGGGGGGCTTTTTCTAATTAGTCCATAGGGAATGATTATACTTTTGCAAAGGATCATCAGTTTGTAGAAGGCATGGTTTTGTTTGTTTGTTTAATTCTCCCTAAACCTGGGTAAATGGCCGCAGCCAAGTTAGTTGCAGATTCTCATTTGAAATGCCAAGGACACAGAATTAGGACCTTTGTTCAAACCCATCCCTTGACCCTCCTGCTCATGCAGTGGGATGGCTCTGCATGGAGACAGCAGTAGTACCTGGGACAACCCTCACCTGAAGATGGGGCTGTGTCCCCCAATCCGGGCCTTGGACCAAGCCAGAGGGGAGGGCACCGCCAGGTAGTCCATGCCAGCCACCTCCTTCCGAGGACCCCCTGGAGGAGCTGCAGCCTCCTCTGCTCCCGAAGGCAGCTTCCCATTGCATGAGGCAGGCTCCTCAGACCGAGGCAGGGCCAATGCCTGCTCGCTGGAAGTCCGCCGGGTTTTCTGAGGGATGCTCTCAGCTGGTGGGGCTCCCACATAGTCAAAGGGGCCTGGGGAGCCAGGGTCCCGGGCCAGAGGCAATGGGGGTGGTGGAGGTGGCTCAGGCCCCTCCTCCCCTAGGCTTCCCCGGCGGGACAGAGCTGGAGAGGCGGAAGATGGGGTTCCAGAGCTGGAATAGCGCCGTTTGCCACATGGAGAGGCAGGCCGTGGAGAGGCAGAGGTGGGCCCTGGAGCACTGAGGAGTAGCCAGCTATCTTCCGGCCCCCTGCCTCCTGGGCTCGGACCATACAGGCTCCAGGGATCATCGGGGGTCCATGGCCTCGGGGAGGCCCGGGGCGAGGGCAGCGGGGAGCCTAGGCCAAAGCGCGAGGCTGCTTCGTTTAGCTCAGACTCCACCTCGTCGCAGGCCGCATACAGGGCTGCCTCATCAGAGGCATCCGAGAAGAAACTCCACGAGGACAGGCTGCTGCTGCCAGGGCTCGGGCTGAAGAAGGGGCCCCCGCCCTGGCCCCCTGCCTCTCGGTAGCCTCCAAAGCCTTCAGGTGGGGGGTAATCTCTGGGGGAGCCGTCTCCCCAGGCATCAGGGTTGTCCTCCAGCGTGGCTGGCGGGTCGGGCGTGGGAGAGATGGAAGTGATGCGGATGCTTGGGCACTCGAGGACACGGCCTCCCCCGGCCCCGCCGGAGTCCCCTCCGGGCCCCCCCAGCCTCACTGACCGGGCTGGCTGGCTCTCCCAAGTGCCAGGTGAGGGGGCTGGGCGGGGTGGTGGGGAGTGCATGCCAGGCCGAGGGGGTGGAGGCCGGGGAATGCCAATAGGGGCAGCGCCATAGGGAGGGGGCTCTCCTAGGGCCAGACGGCAGCATGGTGGGGCGTCTTCTGAATCCAGTTCTGTCAAAATGGGAAGGGAGGGAGGCAGAAAAAGGGATGCCACAGGAGATGGGGAGAGAGAGAGAAGCAGGTAAGATGTCTAGGTTCCTTGAGTGGCCAGCCCCCCAAGTCCTGTATGCTACCCCGTCCTCAGCAAAGAAGGGTCTCTGAGTGCCAGACAGAAGCAAAGTTGGACTTCGGGGGGTGGAGGTAATAGATTCAGATGTGCTCGGCTTTTTCCCACTCGGAAAACCTCTCACTTTAAGACCCCGGCCCTGGGACCTCGAGTATCAGACCTGGTGGGTCTTACGGTGTGGGAGGCGGGTCGAGAGAGGCTGGAGCCGGGCCTGGAAGCGTGTTTAGAGAGACGCTGGGCTGGGCTGGGGGCGACTCACACATGAACCCAATTAGCAGCGGTTCCCAAACCCCCAAACGGCGCTGGCAGGAGCCCCAGTTGCCATCGCAACAGTGGCCAGGGAAGGGGGGGCGCCAGGGCAGTGGTGACGAGAGGAGGTGGCTCCTCCCTCTCTCCCCCCAATCTGGGGGCGGGGGTGCAGCCGAGGGGGTGCTGCGTGCCGGCCCGGCCCGGAGCGGAGGAGGGGGGCGCGGGCCGCACGGATTTCGTGCAAGAGGCGGCCGCCGCCCCCGGCTCAGTCCCCGCCATCTGCCTCTCATTGCGGCCAGACGGGGGAGGGGGAGGGGCGCCCTGACGGGGCCCAAGAGCGCCCCTGGCCCCGGGCGTCGGGTCTGCGGGCCCAGGGCTCCGTCCGCAAGGGGCAAGCTCCAGAGCCCCACCTCCCCTTCCCCCGGCGGCGCCCGGGGCTCTCGGGACTGCTATTCCCGCCCGCCCCCCATCCCAGCCGAGAGGCGGCGCGCAGCCAGCAGCACCCCCACCCCCACCTCAGTCACGACCTAAAAAGGAGAAAGTGGTGCCCGGCCCCCGGCAGACCTCCGCAGACCCCTGAACCCCGCGACTCCCCTCAACCCCTTACCCTTCTTTCTCCTCCCCCTAAGTTCGCTGCCCTAAAGTCCCCAGACTGAAGATCCCCGGGCCCTTCCCTTTCTGACCCCAACACCCCTTCCCAGCCCCGCACTAACCTTCCCCCGGCCCCCCCGCGCTTAGCGGGGGGGCCTCCTTTTCCTCCCCGAACACCAGCTTAAATTCCAGCTCCTCATCCTCGCAGCTTGCTGCCCCCATGGATCCGGCCAGAGCCCCCAGGTCCAGGTCTGGGTGGGAGGGGTGAGCTCAGGAGGCTGCCGTCGCTTCACCCGTGGCTCCCTCCCTCCCCTTCTCTGAGACGCCCCCTCCTCCGCCGCTGCCACCTCCCTCCGGACGCCCCCTAGTTATTATAGAAACTTTTCCAAACTTTTTTCCCCCAAACTTCTTCAAAGCGCTCCCCCAGCCTTCCCTGATTGGCTGCCCGGGATGCTCCAGCTCCTCCTCCAGGGATGAGATGGGAAAACCACGCGCCCCTCGTCCTCCCCCACCCTGCCTCCCTCCCTGGGTCCGCTCTCCAGTCCCTCCCCCTCAAAAAAAAGAACAAAACTGAATTGGAAAACGGTCCCTCAAGCGTGGTAAGACCATAATGATGCCTATTGGCCCGCCGTTGTGACAATCATTTCCCGCAGGGAACACTACAGTCACCACTCCCCAACTTAGTCTAAGTTCTGGGGCTCCGGGTCCGAGCGCCTTAAAGGGGCCACATCCTGAGCCCACAGTGTAGAGGGTCCACGGAGGACCCTTTCTTAAGTTTTGGAGTTCTGCAGCCAGCAGCTAGTTGGGAAGAACCATCTCTTCTCCCCTTTCTCTCCAAGCCTGAGGCCAAGCAGGCTCTAGGGTGCTGAGTGGCTCCAGGCTGCTCTGAGGAGGGGAAGGCCATTCCTTCGAAGTCCCTCGCCTGAGGCCGCCTTGCCTGGGTATTTTGGAAGCTTTTGCCCTGCCAAATCAGCCTCTTCACCTGCCGTCTCTCCTGTCCCCTCTAAAGGTGAAGAACATTTAGCAGTCCTGGGTGGGGAATTGTTCATAGGTCCACGGCCCCTGATGGGCGGTGATCCAGGCCGGGCTTTACCGCTGCCCTTGTCATAGCCACCCAGAGGGACCATTAATTAGCCTCCACGGGAAGTCGGCTCCTTCCTCCCAAGAACTGTAGTCTGGAATGAATCTCTGACCCTATGGCATCCCGATCCGACTCTCCTGACAATCCTGGCCAGGTTTACTAAGGCCCCGAGCCCTGCGACCTGGTGGGCTCCCGGGTGGGACACCTGTCACCTGGGCGAGAGGAGGAAGGAAGACTCGGACTGGAGTTTCTAGGAAGGGCAGGCATGGAGGGGCCCAGTTGTATGAGCGGGAGTTAGTTCCGACACTCGTGGCTCCCACGGCAGACCGGTTTGGGTGTTACTATTTCCCCCCGCTCAGATAATATAGTTCAAACCTCTCTAACAGGCCGCCGTGGTCTTTAATCTAATCCTTCCAGCTGAGGGTCGCGCCCCCAGTGGCGCCCCAGCCCCGCACCTAAAGGGTTAAACGACGGTCCTCGGGTCAGACGTTTACAAACACTCGGGAGCCGGGCGGGGACCGCGCCCGTTACTCTAATGAGAAACAGGCTCTGCTGGGCAGGAGAAGAGGGGAGGGCTGGCCCGGGAGGCCGGAGCTCCGCAGCGGCTGAGGCGGCTCCCCTCCCTTCCCTCTCGTCCTCCCTCTGGCCCGCCCTGGGGACCCCCCAGCCCCCGGGGACCCCAGTGACGTGTGGAGCTGCCCCGGCTCCGAGCCCAGGGCCGCGACGCTGGAGGGGCGGGGAGAAGAGGCCAGGCCGGCGGGAAGAGAAGAATGTTCCGAGGCCGAGTCGGGAGGCGGTCTGGTTCGATATTTCCCCCCTTGGGTTGGTCTCCTCAGGTTACATTTCCCTTCCAGCTTCATCTCGGAAATGAAGGAGAGACATATGGGGAGGGAGAGCGAGGAACACCCTGAGACCGCGATCAGCCTCCACCTTAAGGAGAGAAGGCAGAAGAGGGAGGTGGGAAACGGAGGAGAGAAGGGCAGGGTAGAGAGCGGGACCCGGACCCAGCCCCTGGGCCCGCCGCGCCCCCCTCCACAGCACAAGCAGACACGCACATTCTTTTCAAATGTCATATTTCCTTTGATCCTGGGCAGCGTTTCTCCATGTGTCTGGCTTAGCTCCTGCCCAGCCAACCGCCTCGCCTCTCACCCCCTTTGTATATTTTCCTGGTGAACCTCCCCCTCCTCCTAGCATCTGGAAGGCCCTGAGGGCTGGCGTCTGCACACATTCCCCTGGCCACTCTGGCCTCGCCTCTCAGTGACTCAATTTCCCCTCTGCAGGAGTCAGGGAAGGGTGGGGAGCACAGGGGAGAGTTGTGGAGGGCAAAAGTGTGAACTAGCCTGAGGACTGCTCAGGGTGCCAAGCTTCTCTCGAAGGAGTGGAGGGGAGATCCCATCGACTCTGAAAACCCTCCCGTCTGTCTGGGCTGCAGCCGTGGGATGGAATTTATGACTTGTATCATGTCCTGCCGGGGGAAGAGCGGGTATTTGTAGATTTAGATTGCCTTACACTTCTGCCCCCTGGCGATCACAGAGACCCGGCGGCCCTCTCTCCCCGGCAATTCAAGTTTCTCGCAGGTCTCGCCTTTGTGCTGGCCCCGCTGCCCGCTAGCGCGCGCACACCTGAGCACAGCTCAGTTCTCTCACCTGGTGTTTGTGGCGTGCTTTGCCTCCTGCTCTGACCTTTCACAAGTTAATTCCCTTTTGAGGTGGACGCTTTTCCTTTTTTTTTTAATTACACAAGATATGCTCGTATTGTCCTTGTAAACGATTCAAGCCACACAAAAATATATAGCAAACCGTTATAGTCCACCTTTTGTATACATCTACCAACATATATGTATACACACCTGCTCTCTTTATGCACAGAAGACCATGCTACAAGCATTTTTCTTGCCTTGCTTTTTTTTCTTAGTTAACAAATGGCTTGGAGATCTTTACCTGTCAATACATGTGCATCTGACAATAGTGATCAAAGTGCCCACCTCTTCATTTGAGGTTCGTGACAGAGCTGGGTCTGGAGCCCAGGTTTCCTGGGTTCTTGTCCAGTGCTAATTCCACTACAGCACATTTTATATAGGAATGTGTCTTAGGCTGGGCTCCCTCAAAAAGCAGAGCCTCTGGCAAGAACAAGATGCTGGTAGTTTATTATGGAAAGCAATCCCAAGGGATAAAAGTGGAGGACTGGGAAAAGTGAAAGTGGGAAACAGGGAATGACCATCCAAAGCTGTGATACTGAGCTGGTCACCACTCTGAGTAACTGGAACATTGTCCTACTGGGGACTTTCTGTGAAGCCATATACAATGTGATTGAAGAGACAGAGAGGGGACTATTTATCCACTCGCTCCTACCCCCAATGGTCAAAAGTTGCCCTTGAGTGTTAATTTCCTTACTCTTCCAGGTTTACTCAAGTGTCAGAAAAAGGTAGGTGTCCCACAAAGCTGCAGCAAAGAAGCCCCTGAGCAAAAGGCAAAAGATAGGAGTTGTAGGTGGGAGCAGGTACGGTCAGGTGGCACTTGCAAGCAGTTGGTTACCATAGCTGGAGTAAAATGATGGGTGGAGAGTATGTGAGGCACATAAGTGTGTCCTAAACAAGATCATTCATTCATTCAAGCAAAAAAATATATATGTATTGAGGAACACCTATGTTCAAAGGCAGTTCTAGGCTTTAGGTACCTATATTTATAAACCAAGTCCCCAAGAATTGCCAGTTATTATCAGGCTGGAAATATATTCCATACTTGACATCTCACTCTTCCTTGTCCCCATCACTGTAGAGAACTATCAGTGTTATTTAGCCAGTATCCACCTGTTTAGCCTTCCTTTCTATTTCCTTCATTGCCATATGAGTTTAGGCCTTGGTTTTCCTTCTGATGTAGACTCTCAATAACAGTACCTAATGTCAAAAGCATACCTTACATATTTGACAACTGAAACATATCTTTTTAAAGCCTTCTCCTCTATAACAAAACAAG